GGTTTATTATTCTTAGAATTCATATCTCATCTGTACAAAACAGTAAATAATGTATCATCATATAACAGACACCCTTCACGAAAGCTTGACTTTGGATGAAATGTTATTTTAAGTGGCAATGTCTTAAACGATGGCATTGGATGTACATGTGTGTATGTGCGTGTACATGGGCTTTCCTCATTTCTGCCCCCAGCTGATCAATTCCATGTTTCAGTCCTCATTTGTCTCAGTGCACCATTTGCAGAACTGTAGAGGACCAAACTAGACAGAGCAGAAGCGAAGAATCTGTGAATTATTACAGCTGCTACTATCTAACGGCCAAGGGCTTCCAGGGAATACAAAGTTCTGCTAAGATACAGTTTTTTCTTTCCTACTTTGCAAACTCAAGGGAAGCTATGAAAGCCCAAATGCTTGCAAAATTAAAATCCATTCGAAACAAGTCAACACTTTATGTTTTTATTCCAAGATGCGTTGCATGTTCAAGCTTTTCCTGCAGAAGGTTTTCTATTAATTGAGCTCTCAGCCCAACAGTGGGCTCTCTGACTCTAGCCTTCACTTGTCTACCATAGCTGTGATGGTTAAAAGCTTCTCCGGTTTGTCACAGAGTTTAATATGCACCCTACATAATTATGCAGGATTCACTGTGCTATCAAACTGCAATTCAAATTAGTTCAGGATTAAAGGCATAGAACAGTACTGCTTCCTTAATTGCATTGTACTGTGCTGATCACATTCAAATACCCATTACTCATTCCCTCTGTGGAGCAATAAGTCAGGGGGATTAATATTCAGGCAGGTGACAGGGCCAAGCCATTAAAAGGCAGTTATGCAGAAAGCATGGCTGGTTTTATTCACGTTAATGAAATCAGTGAAATGAAACTGTAATAGATTTATCAAAGCTCAGATGGATTTGCTGTAAATCAGTTTGATTCAAGCAATCAAACTGGACAATAGAGATAGTTTTCAGCTCTAGCAATGGGTGTCAGAAAGCAGCATGTGAAAAGCACTGATATTCTTCATGTATGGATTTGATATCCACCTCATGCACGGGCCTATTCCCAATCCACTGCTGCTAATTTTTTTGTCTTTTGAACTAGGTGCCAGTGGCTGATAAAACATACAGCATATCATCTTAATACAGCACTTACACTGTTTTTATTCTTCATTTTTTTTTCTCAAGTCCCGCAGAACATCAATTCTTACCAGTGGCTGATAGGGGAAAAAAAAAAGTTGCCTAAGACCACAAATGATCACTGCGGTCCTCCAGGATCCAGAACAAGAATGCAGCTTTGGCCAGGGTGACCATTACACCAAGACATGCGTAAAGAAAAAACAATGACCAGACCACAATTTCCAAGAGTGATGGGCCAGTGCAGGAGCTGAAAATTTACTTTTGTTCTGGGTCTAATGAAATAATTTGGCATCCATTAGAGGGCAGCATTAGAACAAAAACTGAGCACCGCAAGGGAGGCATCCCCTGCCGACAAGCACCTTGGCAGAGGTAAACTTCAGCACTGCAGTAATATTTTGCAAGTTTAAAGCCAACGGATGGGGAAGGCTAAGTAACCAAGAAGATGGCAGTGATTCCCTCCATTAGAGGAGAATGACAACGGGAACAACATATGCCAGTCAGGCTTTAGGGAGTCACCCTTATTTTTAGGGCTAAAGTGGAAATGCTCTCGTCTCGACCTAAATGGTTTCACGGGCACTTGTGTTTTACGAAGGTTCCTTGAGAAGAAATTACAATGGATTTTGAAACATGTACAAGTCTTCATTTTCACGAAAAGTGCATCACATGTTGTAGGTGGTACTAAAGTACTCTAATTGGTCTAATTTTTATGTATTAGAAACAAATTGTTCAAGAACTAAAGCCAGTTTTTAATGATCCAAAACAGAAATAAATGTTCTAGTCTATTAGCGTCTTATATGGAATAAATCAATATTAAAGCTAATTAACCCTTTTCAAAGGCATTTTGTCCCAGGTTTTTATTTAATGGTTCAGTGCTGCTTAAGGCATGGATCAAACTGGATAAGCTCCATTTAAAAAGTGGGCCATTTCGAAACAGTTTAGTAGTTCACTCTGACAAATGTATTTATCAGGATAAACTTGACTTTATCCTCTCATGATGGTTTCTTCAAAAAATTGACAATACAAGGAAGGCAACAGCTGAATCTATTTGGTAACATTACAATGCTACAGTAACTGATTTCATCCATTGCATCCTAGAGAAAAACTTGACTTTAAATTCAATTCTGCTTTTTACTTTTAAGAATATTCCTAATGGGGATTTGGAGGTGGGGAAGGGATGATTCCTATATAAATTATTTCATCCTAGGTCAGATGTGAAAGGCAAAATCTGCTTTGTCCTTTTTGGGCAAAGCCATGATTTTTTAAATCGTGTTCAAACACACAGTGCAGAGAACACACCTTTCAGGACATAAATGACTACTTTGACATATGAAAGCCAATGAAAATTATATATTATTTAAGGAATTTGGCACTCTTCCCCTTCTGTTAGCCTAGTAAGTCACAGGATGTACTTCAATATCAAAGTATTTTTGACTTATAAAAAAGACAAAGTATCTTGTACATGAATTAAATTCTTCACAGTACCAGAGGAATTAATTTGTAATGTCATGAAATTTTGATTAGCCTGCTGTAAAATCAGAATTGTTTACCACAAGTGTCTGGATTTTGACTCCTAGAGTCTTTCCAAACAGATAATGAAATGAACTGGGGGGAGGCAGAGTAATTTATGAAAACATGGTACACCATAATTTTGCCATTTTTCTGCAATAAGGATGGCAAATGATTCATGGGATAAAATGAAATATTTCTTGCTGTCATCTCAATGGATCTAAGATTTACAGCTTCTTAACTTGGATAGGAAAGACTCCATGTGCATAAAAATGAATTGTAAATCAATTAATGATGGAGATGAAAAATTTACAAAAATATTTAAACAGGACTGAGAAGATTTTCTGAGATTTAATAAATAAAAAGTGAAAAAGTTCATGGAAAGACATTGTAGATAGGAGACTGCCCACTTAAAAGAGGGCGTGAAAGTCAAATTAAATAAGAGTGATATTTTGATTGATCGTGTTATGTTCAGATCACTTAGACAAAAAATTAGGGATCTCTTAAAACAAAATTGGGTATGCCTAAATTTAATTTAAAATTAATGATAGTACAGAATTAGGTCCAGTTTTACAGTCTATGGCAAAAACAAAGAAATTTTGCGACTATGAAAAACATCAAATTCAAGTTTCTCCTGAATGAAAGCAAGTCTATCCTAGGTACCAGGACCACAAGAAAACATCCGTATGTATGTCTTGATGCCTGCCAAGTCGTTCACACAGTGAAGGAAAGCAAACAGCAGCAAATGTAGGAAAAGAAGTGAATCTGGGCTCGAAGGAGCCACCATATCCAGAAAGTGAGATAAGGATGCTCCATCTAAGGCACAAAAGAGCAGACCTGGCCGGCTCAGAAACTGGTGGAACCAGCTGTACCACATGCCACGCTACAATATCCAAGGTGGGAACTATGAAACTCACTCCTATCCCTTTCGCTGAAACATAATCTGTTACCTGTGACCACAGGATACATACTTACACCTCCCTAGAATTAGAGAACTGCAATTCAAACAGAATTAATAGAGAACCTGGGGTAAGGTATGCCATGCAATTCAGTGCCAAGTAAAGAGAACGAAGGTGGTCCTAATAATGCTGCCAAAACAGTTTTGCCTAGGTCACAGGAATTTGATTGTTCTAGATTACATATCTGCTCTACAATGTAAAGATTTTTTCTTCCTGGGGCCCACAACTTCTTCGTACAGATCTGTAAGTCTAGAATGGCATCAGCAAGACTTCTATATATCATGCTCTGTGTTCAAATATTCTAAGTTAGGTAGCTAATTAGAGACCTAAACCATAAAGTACAGCCACAAAAGGCTCATGATCTCTGCCTCCTATGTAAAAATTCTCTCATTTGGAGGTGGCTGATCCATTTAAAACTTCCGTTGCTTCCTTCCTTTGTAAGTGAAGCATCACCAGGTGAAAGCAGACAGCAGTGACAATGCAGTGCTGACCAAGTTTCCAATCCATATAATATCAGAGTTACCCTTTTTGATGAACATAAATTTTATACATTTTGAAAACTAAGGGCGATATTTTGACAAACTTTATGTTAACAAGTTTTAAAGTGCTATCAAATTTGTGTAATCAATGAAAAATGCCTTGAAGTGCTATGTATTCTTTTCCCCAGCACTGAACAAACAGTGCATTGTTCCAAATCTGTCTGGGAGCCATGGCTTTTGGACATTCTATACAATTTCAAAGAACCTTCGGAAGCTCACGCATGTCTTTGAGCACACAGCCACACTACAGATGGAGAATATACTCCATATACACATGTAAATTCAAACCTATAAAATATCAGGGGCATGAGAACATTTATGTTAAAACTGATAACAGCCTTACTGATTTACTGACAATGAAAATATATAGCATTTTTTTTCTGTCAGAGCATTTATCAACACTTGGCAACCCCGCACTAACTTGACATGTAAGATGATCAAAATGGATTATGTAATCTTTCCCATTCATTTCTATTGATTTTACTTATGATAAAATTCATCAGTGTGTCTGGAAACGCTTAGGCTGAAATGCTATGGTTGAGGAAAAAAAAGGAAAAGGAGAAATAGAATTCAACTGAGTTGTAATAGGATGAATGTGATTTTAGAATAAGATTGCACAAATACACAAGTCATGCCCTAAAGGCTGTTGCAACAAATTAATACAAATAATTCTGAGGGGTCTCCTAAGATTACATCTATCCAAGTAGATATTTCACTTTTGAGATAAAATTTAAAAATTCTAAGCTAAAGAATTAACATGTGCCTAAGTAGCTTATGAAAATAGTTCCAAACTTTTTTCTAAAAGTTCAAAGTAATCAGAGTTATTTGTCTAAATGTAAGTAACATCAAAATGCCAGCAAATGGAACATTTTAATCAGTTTTATTGATTCATGCTTTCAGTTCTTATTCAGTTAAAAACAAGGCACATTAAATACATCCTCTTATTGCTCTATAAATGCATGCAGCTCATTCTGTATATCAAAAGTAATAAATAATGGCGATAAAACACCAAGACAGTTATAAAAATGACAAGCCAACCTCAAACATAGTATTTAACAGTCCAATCTAGAACAACAACCCAACATAATACATAAAAGTGCCACATAAGAAAACATGCAGTGTGTATATTCCCTAGTAGTGGGGTTATACTTGATAAAAAAAAAAAAATAGTAGGGCTTTTTCTTTTACTAACAACTGACACAATGCAAAACAGTGCAAATTACAGCATCACAGAATTCAATAGTTACATTCATATGCCCAAAATGTTTACAAGTGCATTAAAAGGGGAAATAAACCAATGATGACTTTCATGGTATATCTGGTAAAAAGTCACAATAAAATGTTGGTTGTATACATTTTCAAATAAAGCAAACAAGGTCAGAAAATAAGGCAAAATAGGAAGGGAGCATGCATTTCTCAATAGAAATCCTGAAGTGATACTCAGTATAAATTAATTGAAAGCAAGAATAGTGCAAACAGCATGATGAATAGGAAGCAGACAACCTTGGCTTAACAACCAATCTGGCACTGTCACTGCTGTCGGGACTACAGTGCAGGCTGTTCAAAGGAGAGGCAAACTGGGGAGTTCCTTCACCTGAATCCCTCATAGAGGCTCTTAAAGCAAACCCTTGATGTCACAAGGCACCCCTGCACACCCACCCTTGCCCCCAACAGAATCCACTAATACAACCGCAAGAAAAACTCCTGTGCATAGCATTGGTTCTGAAAGGGCTTATTCTCCAGGTTCTTTCCCTCTTTCCTTAAGTCAGTTTAAAAGGCTGTAAAGGTTAAGAATTGAAATAGCAATGTTGGGGCACTTTATTCCCAGTAATGGCTTGAAACCAGTTCATTTCCAGAAGGAGTCTCTGGGATTGGTGAAGGAGCGTATGTTTCAGCATGAGCAGATTTTCAGCAAAAGCAGATACAGATATGCCTGAAAGAAGTGCACTTTTCTTTGTCCTTAAAGGAACTTCAGTCATAGCAAAGCGTGCACAAACAAAGCCTGTTTTACAAACACAGATCTGCCCAAGCCACTCATGTTTCAAGCCCGGTCCCTACTGTATCAGAATCGAGGAGGATACAAGTCATCATTATCTTGCTCTAACTAGAAAAAGAGAAAAGAGAGAGAGTGGATAAATGTATAATATCACATTGTTTGGACATTTAACAGGACAGCTCTTCCACCTGTTTAGTGTCATTGAGGTCTCAATGGTCAAATTTAGGATCTTAAGAGGAAAACTAAATTTCAAAGCCATGTGCTTCCATTTACTTAAAAAAAAAAGTAAAAAAAAAAATCACACTTTATAAGAAAAAGTTCACAGTGGCACCTGGAAGACCCTCACTTGCTCTGCTGTAGATTCTACTTTAGGATGTCACAAGTACCTCAATATCATTTTAAAATAAATTGAGTTCAGATGCTATCTTTCCATGCGGGCGGTTTCAGAGTTGATAGATGGGGGCACAGGTGAGTGAAGTTTCCTTGTTTACATTATAATGTGAGGCATAAACATGTTACAATGTTGACATAAACAGAAAGGACAATATAAAAGTGTTTTATGCTCCAGTTTAAAAATTTAAAACCTCAAATCTGCACAATGAAAACGTGCTGTGAAATAAAGCGTTACTTTTCTAACACGTACAAAACCTGATCTTAAACAAAGAAGTAGGTAGCTAATTTCCTAAGAAGCACAATTAATAAATATTAAAATGACTAGCTAAATGCCACCAAAATATAGCAAGAGCATCCCAAATTGGCATTTAAAATTCTATGCATTTCTTATTAAATTCAACACACACTGATTTGCTTTTATTTTATGTGTTTATGTGCACAAGTTTTTATTTTTTTGTCAATTTCATATATGGTTGACTGAGAAATTTTCCCCTGAGCACAGAAAGGAAAATGCTTTAGTCAAATAAAATGACCTGGGATATTGAAGCATTGTGTCTTATATATATCATTATAATCACAGTTAAATAAGTCTATTCCATGCTCTTTTTACCATTTTTATTAGCAAATATCCTTCTCTGCTTCCAAATGATAAGGCCAAATTTGACAAATACTACATATTCCAAGTATCAGGAGTTGGGGCTGCAAAATTATATTGCTGTACATGTATATTTAAATATACATTTAACCCTTAAATGTATCACTACTTGAAATGGGATAAACTTCACTCATTCCACTGCATGAAATTTGCCACTGAAATGCTGGTTTTAAAAGGAGAAAAACAAGGATCTTCCTGGCAACTGTAATAGTCACAGAAAATCAGCAGTAACTGGGGGAAAAAATGAACCACTGAGATGAAATTCGCGCTGCAACTCACAGCAAATGTCAATGCTATCCTTATCTCATACCTGCGACTCTCGAGGCTTTCAGAGTTTCTCTTTGAGACTTGCTCCTGCAACCAGATCTAAACTTTTCTTCCCTCTCCAATTTTGCCAGTCATACTCTAGATACAAAATTGTGCACTATTGTTTGGATGAGGAAGGCAGACGAGCTGGAGGACAAAGAGGCTGAGAAATAGCGAGGAAAATTATCGTTTCAATAGGTCACTCTTGAAGAACAGATGCTAGCCACAAACTTAATTTTCCAGATCTTCCATTTCCAATTTCAGCCAAAATATTCTGCCTCTAAAACTGATCTAGAACAAATGCGTCCTTGGGGCTGGCACTGTGGCTATTAAGCTAATTTTTTGCCTGAAGCACCAGCATGCCATATGGTTGCTCTACTTCCAGTCCAGCTTCCTGCCAACGGCCTGAGAAAGCAGCGGAGGATAGGCCATGTGTGTGGACTCCTGCACCCACACAGGACACGTTGAAGAAGTCCCTGGCTTTCAGCTTCAAATCAACCAAGCTCTGGCTTTGGTGGCTATCTGGGGAGTGATTCAGTGGAGAAAAGATCAATCTCTCTGTTGCTCTTTCTTTCTCTGTCTTTGAATTTTTTTTTTTAATTTGAAAAGAATAAGTGTGTCAACAAAAAGGGAGTATGTCGAGTCCAACAGGTTACCAAAAGGATGCAAAAACATGAAACCAGTGTGCAATGAAGGAGGAAAAAAAAGAGCGAAAGTATACTTTTTGCAAGTTAGCTCTAGTGGCAAATACAAAGGAAGTATTGGTAAATAAAGTTGGCAAATACACCAACATCCTACAGTTTTGGAATGTTGTCCAGTGTTTAGAAAAAAACCAAAAAGGCAGCTCTCAATATCCACTGTTTTAGAGTGGTTTAAGTCATGTCTGTGGTCACATGGTCATCGGATTGTTCCTATGTCTGTGGCCTGTGGGCTGACTGCTCGGACTCACAATCCTCCACAACTGCGGTCCACGGGAATCAGGACTCTTCTGTCCAGGTTTTCTTCAGCTGTCTTCATTAGGATAGCAAGCCGGCTTCCAGACACCCTTCCCTTCTGAATGGCGCTCATCAGCTTAAAGAAAAAAATCAGGCAACAGGTTCAGAAGGCACGCCTGCATATGGCCTTCTTCTTGGCATTTTAATTGGTTTACCACTGTGGCAATGCAGGGGCAAGGAAATGCTCTATGGAAAACCAGAGCAAGTACTATAGCTCAAAGAAGAAGAGCAGAGTTGCGGAGCACTTCAAAAAATTGGAGACAGGGCAGGTATTTCACCACTGCCTCAAAAATGTCATCTATGCAGGAAAACAGGCTGCCTTTAAAAGCAAATTTAATACATTGCATTTTGTCTCTTAATGTGTTATAGGCATTCTTTTTTTTTGTTTTGTTTTTAGCAACTTCATATATTGGATCTTTAATTCCATTTAAGAAATCTTCAGAAGCAATCTCGGGGATTGAACAAAGACAAACCATGACCTAGGTTTAGCCATCCTTTTTTAGTTACTGTGCTTGACAACTTCAAGTCTGATAAATCCAAATTCCTTAAAGATTTTTTAAAGTAATTTACATGTAAGTCCTTGAAAATGGACGCAGAGATCTACCTTAAGAATTAAAAGCACTCCACAGCCCAGATTTTAGCTAATTCATTTTTATCCAATGGATAAAATCAGTATTAGCCTTGAAATTACATGCAGTCAGCGGGCAGAGTTCTTTAATCTGGAAAGCACCTTTCAATTATGAGCAGAAGGTTTTTTTTTTTTCCTTTTCAAGTTGATGCGGTTTTAACTATTTGCTTTTCTTGATCTCACTTCCCCAATCTTTTTTTATTTATTTACTTTAAAAAGAACAGTCATTCATCACAAAAATAAATATGAAAATTCTCAAAATATTTTTAGGGTTACAGTTCTTAGCCTGTAGAAATACATGTCCCCCAAACAGCTCTACTGGATAAGAATCAGTGGCTGCTGCCCATGGGATGGTTCAGAAGTTCATGGCTTCACTAAAAGCTGTTCCACAAGGTATTATAACCAAGCGATGGGCTCTTACAATGCTTAAGTGTCAGTCAAGCCCAAACCTGGAAATACAGTCACTGCACCTTGCTACAGTCATAGTGATCCTTCCATAATGATTACTGAAAGAACATATCCGTTTAAAATAATTACGCATAGTATAACTGAATGAACGCAAACTTCTACTTTTCAGGCAAAGAATATACTCTACTATAAACAAAGCTGAAAGCATACTTAACGGTAGAGGAACAGTGCAGCACAAGGGATGCTGAGAACTAAAGGCTGAACAACTTACTGTTGGTTGCTGCTTCTCTGACTTAAGACTTTCCAAGTCTATCAAACCTACCACAACTGACAGAGTTGAGGGGTTTGCTTAGTAATAAACACTACAGGAGGTCCCAATCTCTGAAAACTCAAAAGTGTGTCTGAAATACTACAACAGTCTGCTACTCATGTTAACCAAGTAAAAAAGATTTGACTTGGGTATGAATATTTTGCATGAAAAATACAGTCCACAAAGTTTAAAGTAAAAAATCACACTCTATATGTTTAAATTTTTGTTGAAGCTTGAAGAGTCTCTTTCATTCAGAATTGGACAAGAAGACTTAATTATTTAAAAACACTTCAAGAAAACCTTCAGATGGCTTACTTACTGTCTATGTGTTTAAGTCTATTATATTCAGGAAATTAACTTAAAATATAAACCACATAACTTTACCATACAATTAGGTTCTTATTGTTTCTAAAACTTTATGGCTTTTAGTCCTAAATGCTATTGTTTATTTATAACACACATGAAATGAAGCATAAGCCATTTCTTTGAAAAATTTTTTATGAAATTCTGAAACAAACAATAAAGTATTCTCTCACAAAACTACACAAAACTGAACTAACTGGTTTCTGATTCTCAAGCACAAATTTTAAAATCAATGTAGAATGTGCATTAAGTTAGACAGTAAGCTGAAGAGCTAAACATTTCTTTTTTGTAATGCTGGACACAACCTCTGAAAATTTTCTGCATTTAGATTCAACGATGCACTTATCTGCAGCTCATCTCCAGAGAGACAATTACCATTTCCTTTGCCTTGATCTTGTTTGTTTAACTTGACACAGTGAAGAAAGGGCTGACATTGACCAAAATCCCCAGCATTAATTTATTTCATGTTCAGCATTCATCATTGCCATGGTGCAAGCAAGACCTGGTGTTCATTTGAAATACCTGCCCCAAGAAGCACTATAGAAAAAAAAAAACAACAAACCTGGCTGCTTGGAAGCCAAATGCATTCTTCATATGACCAGAGTCATATGTACAGCTACCAACAATATATGGGTTTGTTGATATCATTTTTAAGGAATTTTAAGGAATTAAATGTGTAGCATCTAGGTTAGGAATATGTGCGGCATCCAGTGTGAAATAAAGGAAACAAAATGTGTTTCCTTCGTGGTTATAAAGCTTAAACAACTCAGCTCTGACCTAAGCGAAAATTGGAAATATTATATAGCCTTAAGCCAAGACTACAGATTTTCTTCTGCTTGTTTTTCTGGTTCTTTATAATGTAAGAGTTTGATAATTATGGTCTCAAAGGATACAACTATACTTTTATTAAAAAAAAATTTCCCCAGAAAAAATAGCTTTCTACCTTAGAAATAGTGTGTTATCTCTTTTGGAGGAGGTGGAGAATGGCCCAGCAAAGGTATTCCATGGGATATATCTTTAAAAATTTGCCTCTTATTCGACCCTTTAAACCAGAATGAACTTGGATTTATCCTAAGTTGCCGAGAGTAATGGAATGTCTCTTACAGAAACAAAAGAACACACACCTAGGAAAGCCTCCTCCTTGAGGGCACCTGCATGCACCTTCTGCTGACTTCAGGCTGGCTTTGGTTCCACAATGAGTGACAACTAACTATGTGGACTTCAAACATCCACTGACCATAATGACAATCAAAAGTTAAAAGCAAATACATTTATTTCCATTCACCATGACTCACCTGCAGAAATTCATTGAGTTCAACTTGTCCATTTTTGTTTAAATCTACTTCATTCAGAATTTCATGGAGTGTATTTTCATCCATTTGGACATTAATACTCTAAGTAAAATAAAAGCACAGAATAATGAAGTTCCCTTAGAAAGTACCTATGTTCTATTACTAATGTTGTCAACTTTCCAAAAAATTAAACTAAAATTATTACTTATAGAAGGCACTAAATGAGAAAAAATACCCAATAGCCTCTTCATTTTATAGTTATGAAAGATCACCATTAAACCAAAAAAATTAGCTCTAATACATGCTTCATTTTATAGCTATGAAAGACTGATATTAAACCAAAAAAAATTACCTCTAATACACGCTGAACATCAACAATGGTAATAAATCCTTTCTGGTCTGCATCAAACTTATGAAATCTCTTCTTGTACCTGGAACGCAACATTGACTAATGAAGAAATGCACTTACAGAGGCAAAGAGGGGAAACCCAATGGGAGCTGATTAGAAGTACCTGTCAATGTCCGAAGGCAGCAAGCTGATTTCAGAGCGATCTGTTAACTGTTCTGATCGGGATTTATAGCCCATTTCATAATAAAGAAACTTCCTGGCTGTTTCTAGTTCTTGCTGAAACAAACACACACACAAAATGTGAAGATTTATGGAAAGGATTGTCATTTTTTTTTTCTTTTGGTCTTCAATAAAGAAGCTAATCTTCACTTCTTTGACCAGGACAGTCTTAATTTCTTCCAGATTTACTGAAGTGTAATTTACTTTCAGTAAAATTAACCTCTTTGGGGTAGGCAGTATGCTCTGCTGCAATCAAGATATAGAACATTTCCTTCGTCCTAAAAAAAACTTCCTCATGCCTATTTGCAATTGATCCCTTCCACTGACCTCTAGCCCCCAGGCAAGCACAGATCTGCTTTCTGTCATCACAGTTTGCTCTTTCCGGAATTGCATATGAAAGACTTCATACACAATCTACTGCACTCACTGCTTCCGCATAGCATAATGATGTTGAGATACATTCATGTTGTACTATTTTGATCCTAAGTATTTTCCCACAGTACTGAGCAGAAAATTGTATAGGACCAAATACTTGCAGTTTGATGACATTAAGGCAATGAAAACTAAAGATACGTGGACTTGAGAGCTTACTCTAATGTTGTACGCAGTACCAAGGATAGCATCATGAGATTACCTATGCTGACATTTCACCATGGGGTTTCTAACAGCTGGGTGACGCAGTCATCAGAAGAACCACTCTAAGCTCAAGAATTATTCTTGCTGCTTTCAACATTTCAGGCCTCAGTTATGTCAACTACTGCTGCAAACACTGCCTTTCTTAGTTTTGACCAAATCACTTTTCCATCTCAGAAGCTCTAGAATGGCTGCATACTAGTCTATATTGTTCACATATGTCTCTTTACACACACACACACACACACACACACACACACTCTTCTATTTTATATACTTTTCAATTCCAGTGATGTGAGACTGGCATGGGACATTGGCCAATGGAATATGAATGAATGCAATACTTGTTCATGCTGCTTTTCAATGAAAACTGTAAAGGCTGCAATAGCTTTACTTCTCTTGCCCCATGAAGAAGGCAAGTCTGAGAGAGACCTGCAGCCAGTGCAGAACGTGGAGCAGAGCCACAGCAACAAACATGTGTTCTCCACGCAGCAACAAGTGAAAAAGACACATTTGCTTGCTACCATAACCACTGAGGTTTTTCAAGTTTCATGTTACAACATAATTTTGGTAAACAAGCAAACAAAAAGCCCAATAGGATTGTTAACGTCCCCAACTTCACATCAAAGGATCTTGCCAATTCAATGGCTTTCAAATTCTGAGATGTGAAGATACCAGTGAAAGTACAAGCAGGAAAAGCAGACCACAGCACATAGTCTCAACTTGTTTGAATGTGTAACAAGTGGTTTGTGATCAGTGAAGACAGCCTTTATTTTCTTGGGAAGACAAATTCTTTTCTGAGTTTCTTTCCTATTTTCCTTTCCCTCAGGAAATAAATATCAGGAATTTTCTTCCTTCACATTCTTACATAGAAAACAATCTATACTTTAGAGTGTCCTCAATGTTAAAAAATTAAAGATGTGTTTATATCTATCTACATGCACACACATACAAATGCACAAGTTCATGGAAAATATGTATTACAAGGACATTATGAACGGATTTCAACCTCTGTTTGTACCAAAATACACAACTTTTAGTTACAGTTGTCCACAAACTCTTTGAAGTATCCTCGTGTGTATGTGTGTGTGTGTGGTTTATGAGAAGCTAGAATATTAAGTCTACACCTTCCTGAGTATTCTTCAGTGACAGATTTCTCTCTTCACACAGAAGTCCCCATTTCTTCTTAATACAGTTAGTTTTGGTGTTCTACCAATTCTGTCCAGCCATTTTCTACACAATCCATCTAACCTTCATTCCCCTGAAAATCTCACCCTGCTGCTTTCTTGAAACAACTCCCTCTTCCTCAATTCATATCCTTCATTACCTATGTAATGTATTCATCCTCCAATCAAACAGGGAATCGTGACATTTCAAAACTGGAACAGTAAATTCCCCGAAGTCAGAAAGTACCTCGCTAACCCCACATTTCCTTCATGACATACCAAAAACAGAAGCATGTGACCTCAATCTGAGGAACTCTAACAGGGAAAACCGCCCATGCAAAATGTATTCTAATTGCTACAAAGTTTTACATTTAGAAGAAATCCACTCTTGGCAGTCCTTCCAACTTGTTTGGGATTAACAAAATTTTGCTACAGAATAAACATAGTATCTTTCCTCTGTATCACAACTAAGTATTTAAATAGCAGATTCTGTGTTTTCTTTTTCTAAGTATTCTTGCAGTCTAGGACCACTATTCTACATTTTGCACGATTGCAACTCCATGTATCTTGCTGGATAATTTCTTCCAGAACAAAACTGGTCTGCTGCATAATACAATTACTAGAACAAACCACAATACTCTGAGAGAGACCTGACAAGTACCCGGAAGGCCATAACTATAGCTTCATCAATCTAGACAGATGATTTCTATTAATGCGCTTTAAGAGTACAATTGGATTTGGGAGTAGCCATGGTCCACTGTCAACTGATACACACTCACTGTTAACTAAAAACATTTATCTTTTCTGCATGTGCCACTGTTAGACCATGTCAAATCTGTCATAAACTGATGGAGTTGTTTTTCCACCTAATGCAAGGTTTGCCACTTATCTCTATTAAACCATATTAATGACATTTCACCCACTGCTTCAATTTGCCATCAAATATTCACCCTCCCTTCAATTTTTTGTTATTGGTACACCAAAGATGCAGGCCGTCGACACTGTAATCTAGCACTTGAGCCAAGTTAGACTAGATCAAAAGCAAGGACAGAGTGCTTAAGATGCACCCACAGACATCTCAGGCAACACTGCTCATCTGCTTAGAGATCTACCAATTCTACCGAGATATAATATTCAGCTTTATCAAATATTTCAAATAAAAATATATTTATAATATTTCTCTGATGTAACAAATTGTTTACTGTACGTAAAAAGAAAATGCAAAGTCTGAAGCGATTTCCCATGAGACTCCTTAGCCAGCTTCCAGTATTCACAACGTCTTGCTAAATAAATGCTGATAAAAAGTTTAAAATGCCGGGCCTGGCACCATTGCCTAGCAATTAAAGTCCTTGCCTTGAACAAGACAAGATCTTATATGAGTGCCGGTTCTAATCCCAGTGGCCCTGCTTCCCATCCAATGCCCTGCCTGTGGCCTGAGAAAGCAGTCAAGGATAGTCCAAAGCCTTGGTACCCTGCAACCGTTAGGGAGACCCGAAGAGCTCCTGGCTCCTGGCTTCGGATTGGCGTAGCTCCGGCCATTGTGGTCGCTTGGGGAGTGAATCATAGGATGGAAGATCTTCCTCTCTGTCTCTCCTCTTCTCTATATATATCTGATTTTGCAATAAAGATTAAATAAATCTTGAAAAAAATTAAATGTCACATATTGGACAGCTACCTAAGGCCAAAGCTAAAGCCACTGGTTTCTGGGTTACACATGGTATTATTTTTCACTCTCCTTTCTGGTGTGTGATACTATATTTGACCACTTTGTGGCTTCTGGTCCATACTCACCACTGCAGTTAAGTAATCCCAACTGGAGAGTTCAGCAAGTACCCTGAGGGATTGTATTTCTGGACTGGTACAGTGTACTTTTAGAGTACCTTTCTAGTTGAATACCTGGAGCTTCTTCTTATATTTATTTTTGTTGTTTCCAACATGACAATCAAAAATAAAATGGAGGAAAAACACACCGACACTACATTAGGAACTGCATGATGTTCCCTTCTCTCCAACATCCGAGAATGCAGGACTGTCTGTCACCTTGACCTAGTGAGGACTTAGTTGCACTTGCTTCTATTTTCAAAAGTCACTGTTGGCATCCTCAACATTTCCTGCAACACTCAGCCAATTCCTCACATGATTCATATATATATATATACACATATATACATATTCTTGGTATCTGTCCTTCCATTGTTGAATATGTTTTATAAGTTCTTTTTCTTTTTTTCCCAGTGAATTATAATCTATTTTAAATTATTTACATTTCTGGAGTTAACTAAAAACTACAGAAGGAGGAAAACTACACAATAGACTTAATGTATGATCTTTCTATCTTAAATTTTATTTTTTATCCTTATTTTTCATTTTGTAATTTTTCAGGCATAGGTATTCCTATTTTACAATAATATGTCTTAGATGTGGTTTTCATCAACTTGCTTTGTCCATAATCATTCTAGTTCTTCATTTACTTCCCTTTTGTGATAACTTCCCAGTCCACTTAAGTAGTCTCCTCTCAATAGTTCCTCAATCACAGTGTGTCTTTTGCTTGAACGTTTTAAAATCAACATTGCCAAACCACACAAAGCAGAATTTCCCAAAAACATGTTGGAAGAAACATTCGTCTCTTTGCTGTACAGCTCTTCCCAAAAAAGGAAGCACAGTTCCTTTTGGAAACTGACAATGCACGAAAGCATGTTCAAGATTCCTAAATTATTTGCCCTAAAACAAAGCAAAACAGCAGCAGCAGCAACAACAACAAAAACAAAACCCTTGTTACTTATCTAATTCAAAATGCCCTAAACTCTCTTGGCCATGGAATTATTTTTTCACATATATTAATTTATAGCTTATGGAATATGCTTTGGCAATGTTAACTTTCTCTCAATGTCCCTAACAACTCCTTTTTACGATGTAGTCCTCTCTAATCAAGTTTTCTCTACTGGTTGGATTTTGATCTTCAATTGTAATACCTCCATATGTTCCTCTTAAAATTTAGAAAACACACAGATACTTCTGCAAGATGCATATGTGTTGTTTCTACCTGATAGGATTTCAAGATCCCTGAAACTATTAGCTCTTTGCTATTCCCCTACAATATTTGGTACAACATTCAGCATACAAGTCACTCATTAAGTATTGACCGGTTAAAAACAACCACCATTCATCTACTGGGAGTTATTTATCACCTTGTTCTTCTTCCACTTTTGCAGGCTAAATAATCCCAGTGCTTTTAACCTTTTCTTGTAGGTCCAACTTTCTAACCTTTTAATTCTTTTTTCCACTTCTTTGTTCTCTCTAGACTGTCCACAGCTATTAACACACCTATGTCTCAAATACTGAGTAATAACCTTAAGTCTCTTATTTTTGTTACTTTGTTAGGGAGCATGAGAGATTATTTCTAGGCACATAAATTTGAACATAAAATCTGAATGAAGTTAAATCTAGCTTCCCCTCGAGCCCTGAATATAATCAGTTTACAGCATTTTCTTTCTCCTTCCTATCTCCTGCAGCCTGAATTCCTAGCACAAAATATGGTTTCTGCGTGTTCAGATCATTTCAGCCATAATTTTTGGAAGAACACATAATCTCCAATGCTCCGAATGGTAACAGTGATTGGCACTTGCACAGGGGTGTCATGCTTGTGTTCCTTCCACACATGGCTTCCGCTGATCAAATCTAAACTCAGAACACGCTATAAACCTGTAATGGTAATGCAGAGGCAAGGGGCTGGCCGACAAAAGCTGACGTTCTGTGATCTGGCTGCCTGGCTGCAAACCCAGCTCCAGGATTTATTCCTGTGTGAACAGGCTCTTGCAGGAGTGGACCCTGTGGATCTTTTCTTCAACTAAAAACAAGGTTAAAGGTTTTCATGGAAAGAGATACAGTCAGGATGAAGGAACTTCTTTTTTTTCAGTGACTTCTATCTATTTTACTATTTTTACTTCTATTTTACTATTTACAGTAAAATTGCTAGCAGAGACATTTTTACCATATGAGGCCACAGTCTCACTTCTGAATACCAATCAACATTTCACAAAATGTTCAATAATGTTCATCCCTTCCTCCCTTGTGAGGATACAACAAGAAACAAGAAGCAGGTCCCTATCATGCCCAAGTCTGCTACTATCCTGATCTTGACATCCCAGCTTCTGGAACCGTCAGAAGCATGTGCTAGTGATTCAAGCCATCAACTAAAGGCATTCCTGTTACAGCAGCTTAGATACACTAAGACACACAGTACTACTTTGCTTCTCCTGTTCAAGGTTACAACTTTCTCTTGCCACTACAACCTCACCAGCTACTGACTTCTTTCTTCTGGATTTTCTCCTATCTTTCCAACTGATAAACTTCAGAGTTTCACATCTCAGTCTTTGCATAATTTTTACTAAACTTATGGATGCCTTACATGATGAGCTCATCTAGTCTAACGCATGAAATACCAACTCAAATTTATACCTCTAGGTCCAAGGCCTCTCCTCTGATTTCAGACTAACACATGCCATGATATAGATTATGCTTTAACGGAATCACTAAAATCGTCAAAACACAAACAAGTTTGGGGAGGGAAGCTATTATAATCACTCATGTAAGAGATGCCAATAAGGGTCCAGTGTGGTAGCCTAATGGCTAAAGCCCTCATTTTGCATGCACTGGGATCCCACACGGGCACCAGTTCATATCCCGGCTGCTCCAGTTCTCTTCCAGCAACATGCCTGTGGGCTGGGAAAGCAGTCAAGGAAAGTCCAAAGCCTTGGGACCCTGCACCCGTGTGGGAGATCTGGGGGAAGCTCCTGACTCCTGGCTTCAGCAGAGCTCGGCTCTGGCCATTGAAGCCACTTGCAGAGTGAAACAGAGGACAGAAGATTTTTGTCTCTGTCTCTCCTTATCTCTGTAAATCTGAATTTCCACTAAAAGAGAGAGAGATGCCAATCACTTGGAGCTGGGTGACAGCAGTTCATTGTGTTGAGAAGGGATGAATTCAAGCTACTATTTTAAGACAAATATGTAAGATTTGCTTGAGGATTTAGACAGGGTGTGGACTAACGTACGAGATGTGATACTAAGTGTAGACCTGAACAACTAAAGCATGAAAGAACTATTAATGACATGGAGAAGATTTTGGGAGTAGTATGAAAATCTGGAGGACCCAGGAGAGCAGATTCTCCACAAGAAGGAGTGTAAAGAGGAATGAATCCATCATGTCCAATGCTGTCAAATATTCAAGTGTGAATTTACTTTAAAAAAAGTAAGATGAAGAGTTAAAACATAAGTCCATTTTGTGTGAAAGACTTTAAATGTATGCATCACTTATTCATACTATACATTTGCTACAAACTTTTTGAAGACTCCTTATTTACAGAGTAAGGACTGGGCCTCTACAAGTATGAGTATGCAGAGCAATGTGGAATTTATTGGTGGATCGACAGAGTGAAGTGTTGGCCACTAGGCCTAAATGATAAGGGTACAAGACAGAACAGAGTGGAAAGAAGTGATCCCAAGAATACAAGACTCATTTTTGGCTAAACATATGCAAATACCTCAAGTCTTTGTATATAGCACAACAGCTTGGGTCAATTTTAAAACATGAAAATCTTCTATGTATTTTAATAAGACCAGGCTTATGAATGTATGGATATCTGACCATCACTAACTTTCTTTGTAAATTGTGGACATCAATATCAGACATTAGATAAGACAACTGGTGAACTTGCTGCTAATGCAGGGAGACCACCACTTCTTACCGAAGACCACTGAGTAGGACCGTGAATAAGGGAGGACTGTCAGTGAAAACCAGAAAAGGTTCTATCCCACAAGGACTGTTATCTATCTTTCTCCTGAATTAAAGAACAATTTCTAGAAAGACTGTCCAGCAACAGCTTAATCCAGGTAAAAGATTATCTGCCCATCTTCCTGGAGTCTAACAATATCAAGCACAAGCATCTAGAACTTAGTGAGAAATCTAAGGTTATCACCAAAAGCTATGGACGGCCATATGAACAGTTTAATTCATTAGTCATTGTAATGGGAACTGTGGTTCTAAAGAATGCCCTATGTAATACCTCTTTCTTATAATCATCCCAATTCAGTTCTCTTCCCATCAGTTCAACAATCCGGGGTAGGGCTTCCTCTGCTGCCTGAACATTGAGAAAGGCCAGACGAGTGCGACGTGAAATCATATCCACGGCGGTGCAGGCATATTCCTTAATCCCATATTTCACCTGAGTTTGAATTACAGAAACATAATCAATTTAGACTTTCCTCTTAAAAGAGAAAATAAAGTTTTACTTAAGAATTTTTTTTTTACTGGCTGGTTCTGCAGCAGGTTTGACAAAGAGTTGCACAGCACAGGCTGTCCATCTGCCTGGAGGTTTGGGGAAGGACGTTTGGTAAATGGGATAAATTGGACAAGGGTTAAAGATTTCTTCTTGAACAGAACCTGACATCAACATGCAAACTGCATCGCTTCTCATGAAGCACCCATGACCATTCTTTACTTCGGTTTTCACACAATGTGGATTCCATTCCACACAAACAGGCAAAGGACAAATATACAAAAATTATGGTCACATTTCTGTAATTTGTATTCATTTTAATCTTAGAGCAATCAGATGGAAAAAGCTCTGAATTCAATCAATAGGCAAATGCTGAATATACATCAAATGAATTACAAATAAATATATATCATGGTCTGGGTTTTCAAAATTTGACAGCTTCATTAGAAATAGGAATTATCCTTGAAAAATTATCATATAAAGATATAACATGAAGGGGTAGGTGTGTGAACAGCAGTTCAATTGACCCTAAGCAAAATGCATCTCCCACTGGAGTGTCTGGTTCAAATCCTGGCTCGTCTGCTTCTGAAACAGCTTCCTGCTAATGCGCACAAGGGGAGGTAGCAGGTGACAGCTCAGGTACTTGGATGACTGACAGCCATGTGGAAGAATCAGACTGCACTCCGGCCAATGGCTTTGGCCTGGCCCATCCAGTCTGTTGGGGGAATTTGGGAAATGAACCCGCACATTGTGTCTGCTTCTCTGCCCTCCAAGTAAAATGAAAATAAATAAACAGAAAAAGGAAAGGTATATCATCAAACAGGACAACAGACAAAAAAGCCTACAGACACAATGGGGCAAGCAGCCATGAGTAAACATGACTTACGACAGCTTCATGAAGAGAAATCACATTTCAAATTATTATTAGTCAAAACAAACAAACAAAGTCAATATTAGTCATGTCAACACCATTCCAGAATTAAAACTCTGTAAAGGAAAGGATTTTCACTAGACAGACTGTTGACTCCAGGTTTTAGCTGACATACATGCATTAGTCTTGGCTACATACAACTTGTTAAGATTGTAAAATGTGATGGTTCACGTACCTCTGCCTCAATATATGGAAATTCAGACACAAGACGCACTCCAACAACAGGCCACCTCTTTCCAGTCACACTTGCCATTTTGGCCACCTCAAAGGCCTTGTCACCATAGGTAGCGGCAAGGTGCTGTGCCACCTACAGAAACAAAACTGCATTAGGCAGATGCTTCGAACAGCAGTACCTTTTAGGTAAAAAGTAAAACCAGACATGCTTAAATTTTGTCAGCTTTCTTACAGCCTGTAAATAATAGTTCTTGGAGAGTATTAGGTTTTGATGCTGTGGGAGGAAACCCCTGAGTCGCAGACTGCTTAGGCCAGCACTAACTCTGCCACACATGCATCACTGTATCGGTGACTGATTAAGCTTCAGCTTCATTTGTCTCTGAGATCACTCCTGCAGGACATCCTTCCTTATGCTTGACATGGAAAGAAGACAGGCTGCTCCATACTCCAGGCCTGAACCAAATCAATTCCAGGTTTCAAAGAAGAGACACAGGTTGCTTTGCAGTCCATAAAAGCAAAGTCAGATTAGCTTTTTCATATTCTTTTCTTAGTGCACAGACAGGAACGCACCCAGCAAAAGGAAACCCAATTAGGGAGGCCAAATCACGGGTGCTGATTCTGTTTGCTGGCAGTAGTGAGAGATTAGACACAGAGAATAAGGATGTGGCAGCACACACCCACCTCGCTTTCAAGTCCATAATCCTGAACAAGCCTGATGTAGAGCGTAGGGCTCCAATCTTTGCCCCCTTGAAGGAAAAGCCCGACTGTTCTACTAGGTCCTGCTTTCAGATTGTGAGTCTTGATAGCAGCATTTATGGTATCTTCAGCCATAGATCGATAAGTTGTCCACTTTCCTCCTACAAAGAAGTTGATGTGCAATTCATTAGGCTATCAACCCACACCTTCCTTTTAAAAGATTCATCTCATTTAACTGAAAGGCAGGATGACAGACAGAAAGGAAAGAGACCCATTGGTTCATTCCCCCAAACAGCCATAAAGGTGGGTACTGTCCAGCTGAAATCAGGTGGCAGGCGCTGTCTTAGCAGCTAGGTCTCCTAAGCGCTGGGGTCATCTTCCACTGCCTATCCAGGTGTGTTGGTGAGGAGCTCCATCAGAAGCAGAGCAGCCAGGACTCAAATTGGTGCTCCAATACAGGATGCTGGTATTGTAGGTAGTAGTGTAACCTGCTATTCCACAACACTGTCCCCTTTATTTTTCTTAAAACTAACCAGCATTCAACTTACAACAAAATGTACTTGTTGTTTATAATAAACATGACAAAGCAATGCATAACACATTATTCTAAATGATTTTAAAAAAGTATTAATTCAACAAAGCTACCAGGCTTACTGAAAGAGTCAGGCTCATGAACAGGGCATGTGGCTTAGCAGTTAATATGCTGACAATCTCATGTCAGAATGGCTGGGGCCGGTTCTCAGTGTTGCTTCCAATTCTAGTTTCCTGATGATGCAAACCCTGTGAGCAGCAGGTGACTGCTCAATCAGAAGGATCTTGGACTTGTACCTAGGAAACCTGGGTTGAGTTCACAGCTGCCAGCTTCACCCCAGCCCAGAACACATTAGTGGGTACTTGAGTGAGCCAGAGGACGCAAGCTTCGTCCTTGTCTCTCAAATAAATCACTGAAAAATAATTTAGCCAAGCTTATGTCAAACATACTAGTGGATAACAAGATAAAATCTCATACCTGCTATCGTGATCAGGCCACTCTCACTGATATCAACAACATGATTTCTAGAGATGGACTGAGTATCTGCAGACTTGGGATCAGTAACAAGGGGGCGGATTCCACTCCATGCTGCCAAGACGTCTCCTCTTCTCACTGGTGGGAATCAATAACAAGGAATAGAGGGTTTACTCAAAAATATACGTGTGAATGTGTACTTTAAATGAAAGAACGCCTCTTAACCTTGGCACTCTGTGAGTGCACAGGTGCACGAACAATTCCTACCGCATTATCTTGTGGTAAGTATCATCTCCATAAAAACAAAACTCAAGGATTTGAAAAATGACTGTGACACAAAGATGAAGAGAGAGAAACAAATGTTTAGCCCAGGGCAATCTGGAGGAATTAGGAGAATAAAACAAGAAAAGCAGAAACAAACAAAACTAATTCAAGAGTTTGGTAAATTTCCTTTGCGAATATCCCATCTTGTTATCCCTTTTGCGGGAAGACAAACACCCTTATTCAATAGCAGGATTTTCTCCTCCCTCATCAAGATCACCCTCTTTCCAAGCATTTCCCACAGGTCTTGCACAATGCAAGGCACGTGACGCAAATCTCTTCTCATATATTATCATGAACGCCTCCAGAACTTGCTTTTATTATTCTCCCCATACAGATGAGAAAATGGATTGAGAAAATTTAACCAATGAAGTTGGGCAACCAGTCTGTCAGAAGTGGATGCCTTGGAGGGAGTCTAGCTTTGCAAAGCACAGGGCAGGCTGCTGTCGACTGATGTTCACTGACTGATCACATTGATCTTTACTTGGCACCACATGTAAGAAATACAGGTAAATATCTAGTAAGACTCCATGGAAGGAGTTGCAAAGATTCCTTGAAACAACTGGAGTACTCTCAAGGAAAAACATAATATTGCCTTACCAAGTATAGGGAAAAGATTCCCCAGGGGGGGAAAAAAACACCTCACCGGATGACAGATAATGCCTCCTCTTAATCTCAAATTAAAAACAGTTCCCTGGGCCCGGCGCGGTGGCGCAAGTGGTTAAAGGTCCTCGCCTTGCACGCCCGGGATCCCATATGGGTGCCGGTTCTAATCCCGGCAGCCCCGCTTCCCTTCCAGCTCCCTGCCTGTGGCCTGGGAAAGCAGTCGAGGACGGCCCAAAGCTTTGGGACCCTGCACCCGCGTGGGAGACCCGGAAGAGGCTCCTGGCTTCGGATCAGCATAGCATCGACCGTTGCGCTCACTTGGGGAGTGAATCATCGGACGGAAGATCTTCCTCTCTGTCTCTCCTCTCTGTACATCCGCCTTTCCAATAAAAAAAAAATAATAAAAATAAATCTTAAAAAAAAAAAACAAAACAGAGTTCCCTTTGGATATCTTCCTAATCTAAATGCTGGACTCAGAACCCCAACCAAGAAAAGAGAGAAGACAGAACATGTCAACCAACCATCTCAGCTATGATGGACTATGTCAATCAGTGGATTTTTCAAAGACCTCACAGTGCTTGGAGTGGCAAGACTGGCAGCGATTCATAACTGTTGAAAAATCAAAACCACTTGAGCAAGAACCTCGGAGCATGCCCTACATCTGAGACCTGGGGAGGGTGGGAAACTGGGTGGGCCTTCTCCCTTAATAACCTCTTTAAACATGAAGGAAACAATATGGAAAAAATACTAGTCTTATCCCTTTCCTGTAGCCCTTGAACCTTTTTACCCTAATTAACTATGTAATGATTGTCAAAATTAAAAAAAAATTGAGTTCTAATAAAGATAAACCCAAGTAAGGTAACGCTGATTCCTTAAATCCGACTTCCTTGAGGACCACATTCTAACACAACTGTGATCTGAGACAAAGGGCACTCATACGCCTCCATGGGAATACTTAATCACATCTACATTCAGAAAGGGCAACTGAAACAGAAGAAACGTACAAATTACTGAAAAAGCCGAAAACTTCTCAGCCCTGGGGTTCCTGGGATTCTCAGCCCTGGGATTCCGGTCCTAAATCTGCCCCTGTGACTTCTTTTAAACAGATTTAATCCTGATGGCTTCGACGAAGCAGGGATTAATTTCTGTGTTACACAATTCTACAAGTCTTGGAAAATCTCAACACAATTGTGCAAAGAGTTTTAACATTTTAAGAAAAGTAGGAAATTACCATTATTTTCCATTACAGGCCACAGAGCCCTCCAAGATAAAAATAAAACACACCCAACCCACTCACCACAGCAGTGTGATCACCACACAGTCCCCCCACTGTCTCTGAAATTCCTCAAGTAGCAACACTGATCAGGAATTTGATTTCAACCCCTGAAGCCCTCTGACTAATTTTTAAATTATTTGATGGAAAATTGGACTTTCCAGAGTAAATGTAAAACATATGAAAATTAGTAGTAACAAAATGTTTTAGCTTTTCTGTTGTAATAGAAAAAAACCAAATCCATTAAATTTCATCTGAAACAAAGATTGAACCAAAACATTCACGTATTTTAGTCATAGAAGAATAGTTAAGCCAAGCACTGCATATATTGTTACCATTTTTAGGCCTTGACCTTGGAAATGATATTCAAAAGAAAAATAAGAAAGGAAGAAACAAAAAACAAAATAAGATTGAAAACAGTACCAGGGCTGGGGCGAAAAGTTTATAAAGTGTTAAGAAATTCATTCAGCTTCAAGTTTTGCATTTAGCATTTTTAGTCTAAGAAGCTTATTAGATAAATGTGGGGATTAAATTTACCCAAAAATCGACGATGGTCAAATTCTTATTTAAAATATGAATGATCTCTATCCCTGGTAGGATTTTACCCCACTTCCACGCCAGTCAGTGTTAGAAAACATCTGCGTGTAGACTGATCTCGCTGGGGTTAGGTGGAACAAATGTGGCTTTATTCATATTTCCCTAGAAGCGAGGGAACCTGAGCATTGTTGCCATCTATTAGCTATTTGAGTCTTTTTTTTTTGAAAAATGCCTATCCATTTTTTTAAACTATATATATAGAAAAAAAAAAAGAAAAACAAAACAAAACAAACCAAACAAAAAACACCTAGAAACACAGTGGGAGGAACTGACTTTGGTTGGTGGCCTCACTCCCCTGGCAAGGCTCGCCCACTGGCGCCCGTGGGGCGGGCACCACACTCTGCGTGGCTGTGGACACACACACCTCCACGGCGCTATTCCCTTTTGCACAAGCAAACACTTAGTGGCTCTCCATTAAAGGCTTGTGGGGAGGGAGGGGGCTCTATTCAAGGCAAAGTCAGTGCCAGCAAGGAAGGGTGTGGGCCTGCGCCCTGGCTTGCTTCCTGCCCGCCTGGGAGTGGGTGGCGATGGCAGGGGTTAGGGGAGGACTCCCGGCAGGCGGGACCTTCACACATGTCACGTTCCCGGAAACAGAAAACTAAGTCACGGCGGCGGCAGTGACGATGTCCTGTGGACATTGTGGACGCTGGCGGGGAGAGGGCCTTCTGCCCTATCTACGGCCCGCAGCGTGCTTGTCCCGAGGCGAGCTCTGAGCCGATGTCCTGCGACGGGGTGGCGGGTGGTGGCACGTCTGTCCGGTGGGCTGTAAGACAGACAGGCTCTGCGATCCTCAGCTGTCCGTCAGGCCTGCCCTGGGCATAGCATGCAGGAGGGCCAGGCCAGAAAACACCGCTGGCCACTGCTCCCGCCTCCATTGCCGCCACTAATACTATGGAGAGTCAACGTGTTGCCAGAAAGTCAAAGTCACAAGTCACCAGTCACCTAGATGCTCTCAGAAAAATGCCTACCCATTTCTTAACAGGTTATTTGTTGTGCTGTGGTTAAGTTTCCGAAGCTCTTAATCTGAACTAATTTTAACTCAGTTGCAAGTAGCTAGTGATTATCATGTCGCACACAGCAGATCTCTCACTTGTCTTCCCAGATCATCAAGCTGGTTTTTCCACTGTGACCGACTTGCTCATTTCTCAAATGGAGCATCTTCCCATTGAAATTCAACTCTAGGGCCCAGTGGCGTGGCCTAGCAGCTAAAGTCCTCACCTTGAACGCCCTGGGATCCCATATGGGCGCCGGTTCTAATCCCAGCAGCTCCACTTCCCATCCAGCTCCCTGCTTGTGGCCTGGGAAAGCAGTTGAGGACGGCCCAAAGCTTTGGGACCCTGCACCCATGTGGGATACCCGGAAGAAGTTCCTGGATCCTGGCTTCGGATCGGCATAGCATTGGCCGTTGCGCTCACTTGGGGAGTGAATCATCGGATGGAAGATCTTCCTCTCTGTCTCTCCTGCTCTCTGTATATCTGACTTTCCAATAAATAAACAAATCTTTAAAATTCAACTCTACCACCTTTGTCTACAAGAAAATAATCATACAAGCCTCTCTGGTAGAACTCTTCACACCTGAGTAGCTACTGTTTCCCATGTTGCACATTTATCATTTCAAAATTTCTTCCTCTCTTACCATTCTCATGAATTCAATAAATTTTTAAAATGCTTTCTCATTTAAGTACAAGAGTTATCTTGAAGTTCTTAACAATGAACTGGATCTCCAATACACGTGGTGCTCAAGGACAAGTAGAATCCATCCCTCATGTTAACCCTCTGTGGCACAACATGTGAAGAAAATAACAGCTCAAGTCTTTTATACCTCAGATCTTGAAGACTTATCTTGATTTTTCTGGATCCCATATTCCCAGGATTGCTAAATAAGATTTCATTAATATTTCATCTCTCTTCCTTTTCCCTGGTTGAAAATCTCCAGCAATGTCAACATCTAGTATTTCTCAATAGCCCCAAAAGTATAACATGAAAGGGACATGGACTAGTATTATTATCAATAACTATTAAATGGAATAACAGCATTATATAAACTCTTAATTTCAAACTGTGAGTTGAAATTGCATAATCAAAATCAAGACTATTTTGGTCTTAGAGCTAATAAACTAGGCTTTTGAAAGATTTCCAACAACTTTACATTTAAACATTTGTATATTCCCTTTCAGAGTGATGGGTACTTTAAGTCATGTACAACAAAACTATCTTTAAATAAATGTAGGCAGTCAATTGATTTTTTAGTTGCTAATTTCCCAGATGTTAAAAGAAAAAAAAAAGAAAAAAGCTCCATGGATTACCGCCAGTGTGTACGATGGTACTTGGCAACATTTTCAAAAGATAGTGAGAAACTAGATTTGTGCTTCTAATATCAAGCTGGAGTATCATTTTTATTACATCCCCTATAGACAACCCATTCACATTTTAGTATGTAAAGAGAAACATATAAAAGGGAAAATTGAACAGATATTTCTCACAGCTGCTTGAGAAAAATACATTGTGACTATTTTAAACTAGAATTAATATTTTTTAACTCTTCTTACATACTTAGCAAGATAAATGCTTGCTTTAAAAATTGACAGAAAATGAAGCATGCAGAAAGTGACAATCAAGAGCCAGCTCTGGTTTTCCTTTGCATTAGTTGTTCAGGCGTGCATTTTGGGGTGTTCCCATTCACGTTTGCCACTTCCAGAGAAAAATCAATAAAAGGCATGTGAAAATATCTAAATGAACACAGGGGGAATAGTGTCAGAAATCAATAGTTCTCTACCAGCATGTTTAACCCGCTGAAATGAAGTGTTAATCACAGAAATAAGATACCATATTACATTTATAAACTAATGAAACTAGAAACAGCAGAGCGCATGACACCATAATTAAACAGCTGGAAGACATCCAAGCCTGTGTAAGTTGATAACCCTGGTACAATCTCTGGCAGTGAAAAGGCAGGTCTGCAGTGGGTTGATACGGCCAGCTCAGTTGTTAATTGAATAACAGGCAATCTATAAACACTACTAATTGCATATGTGGAAACCTGTATACAAGTAGAGAAGCTGCCTAGAGAAGCACTCCAGAAAAACTGCATGGATAAAGCACTCGGCCCATCTTCTGCCTCTCTCAGTCCGGTTAAGTCACAGCTTAGTTTAGCTACTGCATCCTTCTGATTAACCTCTACACAACAGACTTAATGATACAGCTTTCAAAAGATCATTTTTCTTCCTAGCTCAATACGAACCACAGAACTATCAATTACCCATTTCAGAAAAGAACAAACAAGTAATCTAGAAAATTCAGCTTGTGAATGGAAAGCTTTCTAAATGGTAAAAGAAGACATGGTCTTATTCCCAACAGGCAAAATGCTTTTCAGAATTGTTCTGACGCATTTTGCAGAAGTGTGGCAGCTGCTGTGAACAGCATGGAGTGTTAAGATTTGACACTTTTTTTTTTTCCTCCTTAAGGATATAGCCATTTGGGGAGGCTCAAAAACTGTTGTCAGAATTTTACTTATCCATTTAATAAATCTTCCTGGAATGCTTATTCCAAACCTGGTGAATGTGAAGCATTTACAAAAATGACTGCTCTACAATCTAAATCTAACTTCATTTTTAAAATAATTTCAGAGAAACTTGATTGCCCAACAGGATTGTTTAAGAAATACAGAAATCCCTTTAGGTAACAGTCAAAGCCAAATAAAGCCAGCAGAGAACAATGGTCACTGTCATGCTAAAGCTGGTGAAGCAGACTCTATGGAAAGAACTGGAAGGCTTAACACACTCCTGATGGATATCCTATCACATTATGAAACCAAGAACTACCAACTGGAGTACTACACAGCATCTAGAAGTATGTATGACAGCCAGACTCACTCCCAGCCACTGGGAGTTTCTCCAGCCATAAAGCAGGCATTACAAAATAGGTTGTTAGAAGCAACCAAAGATATGATCCGGCCAATATTCCTATTTACAGAATGCTTCATGTTAAAAAGTGCTCATAGTAGAACTGGGGAAAAATAAAACATAGACATATAAATATTCAGCTATGTGTGACAACAGCATAAAATCAAATAACTGAATGCTGTCTGGGGCTGAGTTTCTCTCCCACACCTCAGCAGTACAGAAAAGCATATCAGGCTTAACCAAAATTCTTACTGAAAAAAAAAACCCCACAAATCTGAATGTTTAAGATGGAGATATAGTCCAGCTGACACCCTTTACAAAGAGCAAGGGTAACTGCTCAAGTATGAGGCCTTCAGCCCGCTAGAGCCAAGGATGGAAAGAAATAGCAGAGTCACTGCTAGTCAGCTGTTTTAAGAGTGTGAGTTTATATGTAGAAAAGTGGTAACAAATGATGCACATCTGGAAAGGCAGTACACCTATGACACAACTGTGCCAGCTTTCACCCTGGACAGTCGCTACCCGGAGGAGTCCTCACTCTCAAGATATTCCCACAGAAGCAGGATAACAATTTCAGCCGCTTTCCCCAAACATCAGAACTAATAATAACCCTGTGTCTTCAGTTCTCCATTAAATTGTATGTTAACTGAAAAGACTTTTATGATCTACCAGGGATTGCCAAGTCATACATCCAATTATGAAGCAATAAAAGTGACCCAGTCACCATTAGAACCATGGCTGATTTCATTGGTGGAGATCATCAACAACAATGCAGGTACAGCGGCCTTCTGCACCCACACCTGCTCCTAGTACGTCCAACCCCTCAGCTGCACTAGCAGTTAGATTTCTCATCCTCACTGCAGCTGAACTTTAAGATTTTAGAAACTGTCAACATAGAGCACTGTGCTCTTGAATTAATTTTACCTCTTGCTCCAACAATCTAACTTCCTGATCTTAAGGTTCAGATATATACTCTCACTTTTAACACGTACAGCCGGATAAATGTGAAATGAAACGACACTGATGAACAAGTACAATTACATTTTAATAATAATGCAGTAATACAAATTATACCCAGATGCAAAAGTGCTTACATTTCAAAAGGCAGAAGTAGCACCCAACTAAGATTGCAATGCCATGTTAGCTTTTAAAAATGGATGTAAGTAAGGCATTACGATTTCCCAAATGGCTTTTTGTGAGTGCATAGGTACGTGTATGACTACAAGCCTTAGCCATGCAGATTTAAATTATATGTATTTAATGCATTTATTATTTTAGATATCCAGAGCTACTCTATTTGGAATAAATTTACATCCATCACTTTATCAGAAGCAAGTAGGACTCTGTAATAGGGATTAACCAACTAACTAGAAAAGACATATGAACAATTTTAAGGCAGTTTGTTTTACTTGTAAATATGTGGTTATAAAACTTAAAAATTCTTTAGGGATAAAGGATTTATAGATGATAGTGTGTTGTATCTAGAGTACATGGTCTTTGCACAGTATTTATTGGGTATTACAAGATTTCTGATGTAAACACATGAAGATTAATCACTCAACTTCTTAAATGTGTCTTCTAGTGGTACTTAAAAAAAACTGATCATTAGTAACTAGCTTATTTTAGTTCAAAACAACCATGAATATCCTATTTATGAACAAGCCTTGTAGCAGAACAAAGCATGCCTACCCTCATGAAGGCCTGAGAACACATCGTAGACCATTACCAATGATATAATGCTCTGATATACTAACAACAAGATAAATGCCCCCCAGAGAAAAATATGGGTGGTTTCTGAAGTGCAAGTACTTTGCCCACGTGAGAAGTGAGGTTTATCACAGAGCAAACCTTCAACCTAGAAAAAAAGCCAAAGGCTTGAAGACTGTGTGACCTGATTCGGAAATGAACCATAGAATGCATGTAGGGAGAGTAATTTAATGTAAACCTGCAGAGACAAGTTGTGGAAAGTCACACAGGTCACAGCAGAGAGTTTGTCTTTTTCCTGGAATCACTGAAGTAACATCCAGGGAGCATTTTGGCCATAGAGGTTCTTGGGCTGAAAACTTGGTCTCCGATTTAATGGTACTGAAACATGGTAGGACCTTAAGAAGTGGGCTATTGAGAGGTGACTGGGTCATAAACCACCATTATAAAGGGGTTTCACATGGGTCTCTTGCAGTGGTAAGGGCCCTTGGAATGGATTAGTTCTCATGAATGCGAGTAGTTACAAAAAAGACTGGCCCCTCTCTCATCTCTTGATTTATCTCTCTTTGACCCATTCCTCTCTTGCTTTTTCTCCAACTCTCCCACTCTCTCACCTTTCTCCTCTCTTCTTTTTCCCTCTCTTTCTCAGACTCCCATCATGTGATATGAACTGTCATACAGTGTGGTACCCTGAAGGTTCTTGCGGAAAGTCAAATAAAGGGACTGCCAGATCTTGGACTTTCATTCACTAAAACCATGAACTAACCAGACCTCTTTTCTTAATAAAAGCACACAATCTCAGGTATCTTGCTAAATAAAACAAAATGGACCAAGGCCCGATCATTAAGCTTCTTGGAGTGTATACCTCTATCTTCTCAATTTCTTTACTGAGATAGTCCATGGATAACTTGTATCTGTGAGAAACCCCACAATGCTGCAGTCATTTCATGTTCTTAGGGAGGTCCAGGAGTAACGCTAATAGCTCCCAGAGCCTCCAACTTATCACTAGGAAAAGTCTGTATGAATTTCATGCAAATGTAGAAAGGTGGGCGGGAAGAAGGAAAGGAGGGAGAGAGAAAGAGAAAGCAGTTCCTTTCCACTGTGCTATAATTTGGCCTGCACAAATATCCTAGAGGCACACATCATGTAAGAATTACTGTAAGCCAGAATAGTCAGAAGATGTGGTAGTGACCCAATGAGAGTTGGTTCTGGCTGGGGGTACCTAGAAGAAGCTACAGATTTAAAGAAAATCTTATATTACCTTCCACATCACAGCTCAGGTAGTTACGCACTTCATTCAGAATGAAGTTGATGTCTTCTTCTGAAGGAATTGGATGAGGCGTGATATCAGTTGGAGTGTCAGTGGTGCCAGCAATGGTCATCTTTTGCCAGGGTAAGAAGAAAATAACTCGCCCATCACTGGTTGCTGGATCAAGAAGTCCCATGCTCTCGGGGCTGAAGCAAAAAGAAAGAATATTTATTTCTTAAATTAGCAAATGTTTACTATTTATCTCCTTTTTTAGGCCATTTTATCTACCAATTTTCAAATTAGCAAACAAGAAAGACATTATTACGTTTGAGCCACTATCCCAATGTAGAAATTCCTGCAAGGCAAAAAAATAATTTCCCTAACAAAATGAAATGACCAAACGTAATATTTTCAGCACAACTACATTTCCACAGCTCAACAATGCAAGGTTAATTAAGAAAGTATTATTTTAACTTCTAGTTTTTTGGTTTTAATACTCCTTGGATCATTCACACTAGATAATGTCAGTGGGATAAATGTCTATAATTTCTTGTATAATAGTTAATTAAGGATAGCTCTTCAACCTTCTTTCAAGTCTAGGAAAAGTACTTTCCTGGGACATTTGACATTTGGTACATCTTTCAGCAGAAGATCTTAGAAGCACATGAGAAACTGAAGAGGCTAACTTTCTAGAAACTAGAATGTAATCATAAAATTCTTGACTCTTTTGTGCCTAGATGAACTTGTGCCACTTCACTAAATATGAGATTTCTTACTTTATTTCAGGGTTAAAGAAATCTCAGAAAAAAAAAACTGCATCTAGAAGAAAAGGGTTCAGTTTTCCACTACTCCCTGGGATAAGGTCAAAAGGAAGAGAAGCACCTTAGCAAGGAAAATCTTTTAAATAAAAGACACTAGTGTATTACGCTCTTAAGTCAAGGTTCACAGCCGCCTCTCCTGACAGATTTTATAAAACCTTGCAAAATATAATTCAAGAATGTGCGCTGACATACACTGAACATCTGAAAAGCCAAATTAAATAACACATTTAAAAGAACAAGAAAAGAATAAACATTAACAAAACCCTGCAGATTCTGTTTTAAAATCAGTAGAAATTGGTTTTAATGCGCATTAGACATTCAGAGAAATTTAAAGGAACTGTGAAAGGGGTGAGAAAAATCTGAAAATGTCATATTCAAAAGGACACTCCAAACTTTCAGATAGCTATTTCAATTTCATTTAATACTCATATCAAGCCAATGTTAACATTTTTCTACGATTTTAAGCTTCTATTAATGCCATTTGTTAAGTAGGAAATGCAATCTATTTTAGTTAAATATATTTAGAGAATTCTTTCTCTTATACAACACAAGCATATAGTCAAGTTTTATATTTATTTTCCCCTTTAATACTTAAAAAGCAGTGGGCATTTATCCAGGAAGTTAAGACAACCATGTCCCACTTCAGAGTACCTATGTCGGCGTCTGAGCTCAAACTCCAACTTTGTGCCAATGAAAACTCCAGACTGCAGGAAGATAACCCAAGTAAATGGCTTCCTGCATATGCACTGGAGACCCATAATGAGCTTGACAACTATTGGTTCTGGCCTCGGCTCAGCTCTGATCATCCCCAGTATGTGAGGAGTATCTGAGCAGGTTAGAGTATATTTTCTGCCTTTCTCTCTCTCAACCTCCCACATGTATGTATATGTGTATGTGTGTGTGTTTATTTTCATTTTAACTTTAAAGATATTTAATTATGAAGATAAGATGTTAACAATTGTTCAAAAGCAAGCCAAAGAAATCTTGTGTAATAAAGAAATCTATAATCAGCCTAACTACTGCATATCTTATATTTGAACCATAAGAATGTTAGTGTTTCTCTGTAAAACCTCAGCTCCATGAGATGTCTATTGTATCCATTCAATCTCTGCAAAAAGAAATCTCTGTCCATAGTTCACTTAAGAAAAACAGAAGAGTGTGGGTCACAGTTCTCCCTCCTAGCAAATTCATAAAATACTAGAGAAGTATGCCAAACACTCAGACGTTTGTCTAAAATTCACACCTTCGCTAACTGGAAATGTCTTGACTTTTAGTCTAGTATGTTGAAAACTACCATATCACATGATTTCAGTCTCTTGATGTCAATATACATTTGACATATATTATTTTGTCATATAATATCATATATTTAACATAAAGCTGTAACAAAAAAAGTTAACCACATGTTTTGTCAGCATTTTTTAAATCCTGATGACAGTCACCTGTATTGTATCTGTCAGAATGGGCTTAGATGTAGGATGTGTTTGGGATTAATCTAATCAACATCCCAGCATTAAACACAGTAACCAATACTACCATGAAACAAAAAGGACACTCCATATTCTAACACTTGAGCATCAAAATACATGTTGTTATATTTAAAATCCAACTCTCTTATGGACCAATTACATATAATACACCTAAAAGTGTAAGCCTAATAAATGTACAAGCTTACAATAATCAGCAACCAAGAGAGGAACTACTGTTAGAGAATCACAAGCACTGAATCATTTAAAAGCTCTCAGAGCAATAAAAGCAGTTTAAAGGGTGAAGGTGATGGTAACCAACACACACACACAACTGGATAACATAGAGAATCAACTACTTAAGTGAAGACATATGTGTCAAACATGAAATTAACGAGCACGAAGGGAAGACAAAGCTATTAATGAACAGTATAAAAATTTAAGAATCCACTTGGAAATACCTTTCATCAGCTCTAAATTACCTATTTCATACTCTCTCTCTCAAGGAAATTTTCTTTCTTATGGAGGTTTTTTTTTGCAAGATCATATTAAACTTTGAGAATGAATATCAAGCTCAAGAAGTTTTCAACAAGTTCACAGAAAATGTCAATCATAATACACTATGCATGCATTTCAGTTGTTTTACACAGTGAAATAACTTGTGTGTTATTTTCATTTTCAATGAACTTTCTAAAGTACCACCATATACTGAGAATGTATTCAATGCAATGAGAAAAAGTTTCTTCCCCCCCAAATCTATATGCTTTATTTGACATCAGAAAGAAAGGCTTGTGACTAATTTATGTGTGTCTGGCACCAAATACAGTGAACATTTTCCTCATGCAGACCATTCCTTAAGTAGCTTAGTTAAAATGAAATCATTTTATTGCTATTTACATAACAATCAGTGTTACACACATTATAGAAAATTGACCATATATCAGCAGAAAATGTATCAGTTACACGGAAGAGGTCAGATTACTTTCGTGTAGTTCAGTCATTTTGTGTAGTATTGCTTCTTCTGAATGAGTATCTTGCCATAAATGATAGATATTCCAGATTTGCTCTTAAATAAAATAAATAGTGGCATAAAAGAGACTTTTGAATTTAAAACAATTCCTGCTTTCCTAAGCACACCCTATCCCCACTCCCCACCCCCTAAAAAAGCCATCATCATAGTGTAAGACAATTTTATATGTGAAAACTTGATGAGGACCATACAAACTTAAATGTCATAAGCGTACTTCCAAAATGGTCTCACCAAGACACATGGTGTCATTGATCTTCACTCTTCCTTTCCAACCTACACTCTATAAATGAATGACTGCTGAACTCAGCGCATTTCCAAACTAATCAATTTCCAACTGAAAATGTTTGGTAGTAAGGTGCCAGCAGTCTATTGCAGGGCAGCCCCGGAACGTCCTGACTAGCTCTTGTTCATCCTGGAAACCCTGTCAAAACCCTTGAGGTGCAACTGCTGTGATGGATTTATGAGAACAGGGTCTTATTTCAGTCTGATCGTCTAACCTTGCCCAAGAGAATGACTTGATATGAAGGAGACAATCACCCCTACAGGATGCAGGGATTACACTGCCTGTGGGTCCGTGTTGAATAGAATAAACATGTAATCCAGGTCACAATGTAAAGCCAACGAGTCCATCTGCAACAGAGCCTAAATGGGCACAAGGGTGCAGCCCTCTCCTTTGGGGTTCCAGCAGGATACAGCGTCATTGTGGTCCAGGGTGGTAAAAATGAGGTATCAATTTCTCTCAAAACAAAATGAGATCATTTACAGCACCTTAGGCTGACAGGCCTAGCTGTGATTAACACGTTTATGATTCAGGGGGAGGGAGTCTGAAACTAATGCCAAATTTTTAGGATTAAGAATGCTAGTTTGGGACTGGCACTGTGGCACAGAGCATTCAACCGCCACCTGTAAGCCAGGCATTACGAGAGCACAGGTCAGATTTCTGGTTGATGTACCTCCTGTCCTGCTCCCTGCTATTGTACCTGGGAAAGCAGCAGAGAGCCTCTGCACCTGAGCCCCTACACCCATACAGGAGATGCAGTGGAGCTCCAGGCTCCTGGCTTCAGTCCGGCTCACACCTACCTATTGCCATACTTCTCTCTCTCTCCCTCTCATCACTCTGCCTTTCAAACAATTTTTTTTAAAAGGCAAGTTTAAAAAAGTATTTTACTCAGAAAATATTCATATTTCTTGTTAGATACCCATCATTCTGTTATTAAGTGCACAAGGCCTAAGCTATAGCACTTACCTACAGAACAATCATTTTCTGGCACAATTTTAACAGGATATGTATTTATGCAAATAAAACCAAAATTCCATGGGAAAAATTAGAAGAAAGGGTTATTGTTTATTAAAGAACTATTTTTCCATAATGATTAGAAGTTCTAACCACATCCTTGTATTATTTTTATGTGTAAACATTTATTTTTGTTACAGGTATTATATATACAGTAAGATAAGAATCACATTTTATTTTCATATTTCAAATTCTCTATATTTAAAAACCCCATATAAATATGACACTGAAACTTTAATGGAGACACTTTAATGTGGTGCCCACAGAAACTGAGTACTGCCGTCTACCAGATCCCATAGCAATAGCTGAGAACAGCAGTTGTAAGACAGACAAAATTTAATCAAGGGTTCTCGGCTGAATTTTCAACAAGTTAGCTACATCATGAAATAAGGGTTCAGAGGCGGCAAAAAGGACTTAATGTTACACAACAGCAAGAAGTAATGAACAAACTCAGGATATTCTATGTCAGTTAGGAGCTTAACTTGCACTTTATCGTCCCTTGATCTTTCACTCTAAGAAACAGATTGTTCTCCATCTTGATTATGGGGAAACTAGGGTTCACAAAATAAGATGGCTTATTCCAATGGTTGCCCATTAACTGACTGAATCAGCAAAACGTCTTGGGAAATGGTGAGAAATGAGTCCTCTGTTATCACTGCATTGTGAAGAAAACATAAGACACAACATGGAGGTAAATATACTGATTCTGTAAAATCAACACAAATCAAAGGGTTGTCCTGATTACATCTGTACCCTATTATAGATAGATCAAGAAAAATCTAAAAATTCTAAAAAACTTAAAAACTAAATATATACAGTTGATTCTTTTGTTGAAAGTTTCTTTGCACATGAAACTTGCAGGAATTTTATATGTAGCTACGTCTCTCCTTTTCATTTGAACGAAACTATGGGTAACAGTTTTTAAATCACAGCCGGGGCTGCTGCACCAATTCATAACAATCATTGAGACTATAGGCACCCTGGTGTTTCCCACCCAGAGTAAAAATACTAAAGACTACCTACCTCGCTTATATACATATTAAGAAAATTAGAAAACTGTGGAAATTAGTAATAATTCTTTCTAACCTCAAATAGAAAAATAAATAAGGAAATGGAAAGCCTGGTTATCTATTTGACTGGTTTATGCAATGTACATGTGTTGAAATACCGTATGCCATAAAAATGTATAAGTGCTATAGATTAATTAAAATTATTAAGAAATAAAATCAGAGAAAAAAGTAATAAACATGTTCCCAGTAGAAGTGAAATTGATACAATTAGGTGCATCTTGGGTGCTTTTGGGGAAGATTTTATTACTAGAGAATCAATAATTAATGAGGCAGTATTATCTATAACACAACAGGATAGCATTCTATCACAGCAGGAGAATACACATTCTAAAGAAAATAGCATGTCTGTTGCATATCTATTTCAAATACCTAAAACCCCATTAGATGCTCTTTATGAAAAGAATATGTGAGAAATCATTCCCATGATCACCTGACCTAGAGATATTCCCATTTCTTGCCATAACATATATGTAACTACATCTCACTACAGACATGCCCTTATTACATAAAAAATGTTGAGCCCTACATTCTAAAGGAACATTGAACTACCAGTACTTTGTGGGACATTAAAGGCTTTTATAATTATCATTCTTAATGACTACATAATATATCTTTCAATGGACATGCCATGACTTATTCTGTATGTCCCTAAAAGAACTGAGATGGTCTCTTCTTTCTAGAATGTAAATGGCTTAGCAAATAGATAATTATTTCACATACAATTTCTGATGCACCTACTGCATTGACTACATATGGAACAAACAGTACAAATGTTCGAAGCTCTCACCATAAGCACATGGATTTTTTTCCCGCAGATACCCAGAAACATAGTTTAGTAGTAACCACTCAGAACCACTTAAGTGTTTATTTTCAATGTCAAACATACAAAAATAGAATTTAATGAACTTGCATATATCTAACAACCAGTTTAAATGATTTCAATCAACAGCTATTTCAGCTCTATTCCTACTCACCTTTCTATTCACATTTACCTCTGTTTATTCAGTGTGTTAGAAATTATCTCATGCAATGTTTTAAAGATATCACTTCAAGAATTATAAACTCTAGAGTACCTGAGTAGCCCACATTTTCAGATTCTTCGAAAGCCAATTTGGGCATTTTTGTAAACTGTTTTAAAAATATGATTCAGAAATACTAACGCTTAGTCTGTGAACTTCACTACACTGTGCAAAGCACAAAAATACACAGGTTCCCAAACATCAGCCTTTGAAACAAGCATGGCCACAAGGGGCTAGGAAATTCCCAAGTCTACTTTGTGTTTTGGATGAGTTCCTTTTCCCATTTCCCTTTTTTGGAACAGCAAATCAGACTATTATTAAGAAAGTTGTGCTAGAAGAAAAACTTAAGCACAGGCAATCTCTCGTGTGTCTCTTTGTTGGGTGGCAACCGCTGATTGGAAGACAGTTAGTTACCTGTAGTATCCAGGCATCACAATATGGACACCAGCACTCGGCTGGCAGATAGCCGCGGCATTCTTATCATCCATTTTGCGCACAGAGTCTGTGAAAGGTCCCGTAGCATTGATAACACATTTGGCTCTCACATCAAATTCCTTCCCTGTGAAGAAAAGCAGCATCAATCACACAGTCCATTTGTTTCTCTGTTCGCTGATGCTCTGGATTATTAATTCACCTATTAATTTAACCTGTGCTGAAGTCTATTGCACACCACTTAGTGACAGGCACAGCCAGTTACTGGGGAGCCAAACAAAGGCTCACATGTAAGTAGATTCACCAAAACCAAGTCTGAGCTGACACAAGGCAGGCAAGCCACTTGTTCACTGTGGCTCTCGGTCAGTTTACAAAGTGCTCCTCATCAAGGCACCACACAGGATGAATGCACAGTGAGTAAACAAGCCATGCCTTCTCCTTGGAACTCCAACTAGACATTGTAATTCAGTGTTGATCTGCTTCTAGAAACGTGCAATTGTGAAATCCACTACATGGTCAGAGGGTCAGGGCAAGAAAGAAAAATCTAAAGGAAGTTATAAATGATTGACTTTAATGATGTGTAAATGCACTGCCTGTGTCACCTAAATGATTCTTTGAAACTCGGCACATTTATTTAATTTTATTAATCACATGTTTTTGTAAGACAAATGGAATGCATTCACAGCTGTGGGAATTTCGTGGGCATTTATTATTATCATTATCACTATTAGTATTTAACACAAAGAGGGAAAAATTGCCCAAGTCCCACAAGGGAAAATTTTCATGTTAAACCAGTCATTGTTGACAATAAGGAATATAATTAATACGGCTCTGAAGCCTGCCCTCAGTGAAAGACAAGTGACAGAAAGATTATAATTCAGTCACTATGTAGGCGAGGCAGGAAGCTGGGAGAACCCTCCCTCCCGGAGCCTGGGCATACCTGTGAGCACATCCTTGCACCGGGCGCCGCTCACACGCTCTTTGCCCGTTTCGGGGTCTGTCTTCTTGAGCAAGCTCACTACCTCCATGTAATTGGCTGTGGCCGCCCCATACCTGGCAGCAGTGAGGGCAATGGCAAGGTTCATCCGCGCATCGTTGTGTTGTCCTGCAGCAGAGGAAAGCATTAGGGCAGGGACGGGAGGCACCTCCAGCCACAGACTGGTGGCACAGAAGTGTGTCACAACAGATATGTCACATCTGTCCCTGTCACCCGGAATCTACATGATGGTTAGGCAGCTGTACAGGGCACAATGTCAAAATACTGGGTAATTCTCATTCAGGCATTCACCTGTCACTTCAGCAAGTGTCTTTTGTGTACCACAAAAATGGTGAAAAATATCTCTTTCCTATGGATCTGACATCAATTATACTTAAGAAATAAGTAATTCTTCCCTTAGTGCTGGAACATATGTATATGTCAGACTTTTCTTAATGCAGGCAAATCGTAAGCACGAAAGTGAAGTCATTCAAAACTTCAGAATATTTGACACCCCAACTGGTGTTGACGAATAATCTTTATGAGTATGTGCTCTAATATTCAAAACCAAGAGCTGAATCTTCCATAGAGAATCTCTCAGTATTCTATAAAAGGATTTTTCTCGGTTTGAATTTTGATCAGGGCACCTTAAAATGTAACACTGTTTTTTTTTTAATTGCACATAAAAGGTAAGAAATTAAGCAGGGTAAAATTTAATTAGAGAACAATTCCTACCTGTATTGTTAAAGATTTATTGCTGAAAAATCCTAGTTAAAGAAAACTAAAGGGGAGGAGAAGGGTGGAAAGATGATTAATCACTTTAAAATACTGGCATCACCAGAGACTTTTTCTATTTATTATTGCCAGTGGAGTTAACGCTGACCAGGAAGAATTACTCTACATTGCAGGGGCCAGGTTCTCTGTGCCCTGAATAATTAATTATCCCAGGCTAGATGTATTGAGGCAGGGTTCAAATTCCCACACATCGGGATCAGTTCTATCAAGATAATACTGATAAAGGGATGAATTCGTAATAGATATTGTTGTTGATTTATGTTGCCAGCATACCAAACATTTAGTATAAATGGTTTATGTAAAGTTTCTTCCTTGTGATTCAGTCTGTGCAGGGGCAGAAGCACTACACAAGTAATCTGTTCCAGCTAAAAGGGCAAAGTTATAAAGAGAGAATCAATGACTGAAGCTTCTGCACCCCTCCCCTCCAACCTCCGCCGAACTAATACAATCAGCCAACACCCTCTCCTCCAAAATGAAATGCCCTATACATTAAACCTCGCATGCAAACGTATTACTTTGAAATTATCTGATCCTAAAATTTATTATTTAGTTACTTTATGCTAATATTAACAGAACGGAAGCAGACGACAGAAAAGAGTAACAGTAGTAATTGCTGAGTTTTAAGTGGGACAAAAGGGTTGCGATTCTATCCATTTCAACTTAATATAACCTTAAAGTTGCTTCAAATAGTAGGATTATTTAAAGTTAAGATTAAGAAAACAAATGTAGGGCTCCTTACGTACTGGAATATGTTTCACAAAGCTAAAAGCATTGTAGCCTAAAGAAACTAAGGAAAAAATTAGATTAGGGATCTTCTGTTTGATCTTCTGTTTGATCTAAGGGGAAAATACAGCGTGTTCCACACAGTCTTCCTAACAGGTGTGGGTGTGTGGCAACGGAGCCCTCTAACTCCTGAGCTCAGTATTTGGAAGTACAAAAATCCAACTCACATTTTCTCTCATCACAGGTGTATGGTCAGGAAACTCTGACCCACTTGTGCGTTTTTGTTTTTGTTCTGTTTTAAAGGTAGGCCAAGTCTCTGGGAAACAATGTATCAACAAACTTAAAGGTAATCTTCAAGGGAACCAGGGGGAACATTTCCTTATTAAACGACAGAATCCTTTGCAAAGTGGTGCTTCTATCACAAGATTATCTGATTCTAAGCTTACTTTAGTACAAAAATTTTTAGTAAGCTTTTTTCCCCCCAAAAAAATGTATTTATTTTTATTGGAATGGCAGATCTACAGAGAGAAAGAGAGACAGAGAGAAAGATCCTCTGTCCATTGGTTCACTCTCCAAGTGGCCACAATGGCCAGAGCTTTGCTGATCTGAAGCCAGGAGCCAGGAGCCTCCTCCAGGTCTCCCACAAGGGTACATGGTCCCAAAGATCTGGACCACCCTCCACCACTTTCCCAGGCCACAAGCAGGGAGCTGGATGGAAAGCGGAGCAGCCGGTACACAAACTGGCGCCCAGATGGGAACCCGGCATTGGCAAGATTTAGCCACTGATAAATCATGCAAGGTTCCTTTAGTAAGCTTTTAAAGTTTACTTTGTTTTATTTGAAAAGCAGAGCAACAGATAGAGCATAAACAAGAGAGATCTTACATCTGTTGGTTTACTCCCCAAATGCCGGCAACAGAGCCAGGGTTAAGCCAGTCAGACTGAAGCCAGCAACTCCAACTGGGTCTCCAGTGCTGGTGCCAGGGTTCCACGTACATGTGCCATCATCTGCTGCTTCCCAGTGGAGGCAAGACTTGATTCCAGACGCTCCTTACAGGAAGCCTGCATCTCAAGCAGTGATTAGGCCTTCTGGACTACAATCTCCATGACTCTTAATACACTTAAAAAACATAAAAAGCTACCGAAGCACCCTTGTATCACATGTGTGTGTAGTGAGAGGAGTCCTGGTAGAGTTCATTATCCTCTGTTGCTTTTACACGAAGAAACACCTCTCTGGTTGCCTTATAGATGCCAATGAAATGTGTGGTGGGAACACATTCCTTCACAACCGCTTCCACTCCCCGGCCTCGATGTGAATCAGGTACATAACTTTGGAAAGTTGGACTGTGCTCTTCATGACACAGTCCCCATCTGCTCTGATCCCTGCATGCCCATGGCTTGGCAGTTATTGTTCATCCTGGAAACCATTCTGGAAGCTCTGGAAAACCTCTGTGGGTCTCTCGTGATCTCAGTCCAGTATCTCCCCACTAAGTTTCCATTTACCTTCATTTTTTCCAGGGAAAACTATTCAGCCTTCCTCTGTGTCAACTATATACTGTATATATTATCTTACAACCTTTATGACATGATAGTCATTCATATAACTATCTGCTTACAAAAGCAATCCTTTGTTATGAGTCAGAACTGGGATAAACAAAGGAAACAAAAACACAAAGAACAATTCCTACTCTAGTGCCAGGTACACGCCACCCCACTTCTCAGGACTCAGGGAAGGCAGGAGTCATATTTATCTATCTTTCCGCTCTTCATTAGTACCTAACACAGAATAGGTAATTGAATACACTTTAGCTAAATTCTATTTGATGTCTTCAATAACTAAGTATTGGAAGTATTAACTCTAATGAGGCAATGAAAAGATTCAGACTCTCATCAACAAAATTCCAGGCATCAGTATATTGCTACAGATGTGAGCAAGTGTGTCGAAGTGAACCTAGGGCGCAGTGGGTTAAGCCGCTGCCTGCCAAGCTGGCATCCCAAAGGGACAATGGCTCCGGTTGCTCCACTTCTAACCCAGTTCCTTGCTAATACTTACAGGAAGGCAGTGCAAGCTAGTCCAAGTGCTCAGGAACCTGCACCCGCAGGAGAGACTTGAATGAAGTGCCTGGCTTCTGCTTCAACGTGACATAGCACAGGCCACTGCAGCCATATGGAGAATGAGCTAGTGAGTGAAAGATCTCGCTCTCTAAAACTTTTAAATAAATTTAAATATATACATTTGACCCCAGCCCTAAACTTAACTCTTGTACTTAAGCTGAAAAAGTCAGAATGAAAGAGAAACACCTATGAGTGACTCCCTCAGAACTTATTCCATGAAGGGCCCTTGTTCTGTAGGGAAATGAAAATGCAGCTAACCATTAGCTCCTAAAAATTGAGGACCAAGTCATTTGTTTTCCCTCTGAGCTCAGGATCGCACACCTCCACCTTGCAATCCTCTTCCTTCCAGATATTCACCTTAACTCATTTATCTCCTGGGATTCAGCATAAGCCTTCCCTCCCCTGTTCTATCCACATTAAATGTACCCTTTACCCTGAGATACCCAGATGCTTGCAAAGTATGCTTCCTGGGGTATAAGTGATATATTTTCATTATCCTTAACTCAATTTCCCCAACCCTGTCTCTTGACATTTTGAAAGGTATATCTCTATGCCTCCTGTAATTTTATTCCTGCGTGAAAAGAAGTTTTTGACAACACTGCATGTCATTAGAATGCTATACAATAATCTCGAATCCCCACCCAATTGATCTGCTTATTAAGTTTAAATTTTCAAATCTGTTTCCTTAGAGCTGGGCAACATTATACTGAGTTTCACTCCTCAGTGAATAGCTTTACATTGGCACTTGCACAAGGATCCAGACGGGGACTGTGGAAATCTGTTTCCTGCTCTGTTCTCTTTTGCACTTGAAATCTTACATATGTGCGCGTACTGAGCTTACAGCTCCTAGGAGAGGAAGCGCATCAGAGGTGGAACTGCAACTGTTTTCTCTTGTTTAGAAAAACAAAATACAAAATCTACCCACCAAAAAAGAATGAAGGTTGGTGGTGGTAGAGAAGATTTTCTTTTCTTTATCTGCAATGCACACAGGAACGTGAGAGACATTTTAAGTGAAAAATGCGTGACCACACATATTTTAGGATTTAATCATCTAAAAGATATGCCTTAAATATAAATATTTGGGGGACATAGGAATAGTGCTCTCCTCAGAGTTCAAGTTTAGCAGCTCATTTAACATGCAAAATAACCGGAGGGCGAAGATTTAAAAAACAGGAAAAAAAAACCCAGGTAATAAATTGCCTGACATTTACCTATTCCTTCAGGTCTAAAAATCTTCCTTTTTTACACAGCATCTTCTAAAGGGTCCTTCACTGCACTCAGACTTACACATATATACCAACTATCTTGATACAAGTATGAAGTCTAATTTTTAGACTTTTAGTTCATAATTAAAATACACCCCCTCCACAATTTCCATCATCAGTAAAACTGCCAAGATTGCAATGTTGAGAAAATTTTCTTGGATTTTTCTGTGTCGGTATTGCCTTGTGCAATTACTCTGACTACTTCAGGAAAAGGATGCCTGACATAAGGAACA